GATGAATGGAGACCGTAACGTTACGACAAAGTCTAACACTGTAAGTACCAAATAGTCATACGAGATATGTGCATCTCATCAAATTCAGCTTATACCATACCCACAATAATGTTACGGAGTCAGTGAGTTCAAGTTAGACAATACGCTGACCTTCCACTGACCATGCTTATAATATAAAATCTGTCAATGACAGCTGATTCATTGTTTAGTTTTTTATATGATATATTTAATATCAATAATATATGTATATGCATGCTTTATTTTACTTTACACGACCTCTAAAAATGCCCCAAATCGTAAAAATACGACTTTTTGGATTTCGATCTCCTTTTTTCGGCTACCCCGGACATTTTCAAAAAATGATACAATGATTTCACACAACAGGCCAGCTATTAGCCTCTCGATTGACAAGAGTTTCATCGCCCTCCATTCATTATAACCAATGTCATCGTGCCCTAAAGAATCAACAAATCAGCTTGCTTATCTCTGCTTACCCTAGGCAAAAAATGCTCATCTTTGAACTCAATCATGACATTGACCTAGTGAACGCCTACACCAAGTTTGAACATTCTAGCTTAATTAGAAGGAGAGTTCTTGTGTTCCAAAGTCCCGGCCCTTCAAATTGCTTCTATTTTTCATTTTCAATTCAAAATGGTGACCATCACGTGACCGAAATCAAAATTCTGATCCGATAGATTTTTAGGCATTCCTTCCAGGATTCCGAAAATATGACGCCCGAGTCTGTAAGTAAAATAGCAAAAAAGCCTTTTTGATTTTTCACGTTTAAAGATGGTGGCACTTCCGGTTTGATCGACAAACTCCATATTTTGTGTACGAATCAGTAATTACTTGTCTAGTATCGAATTTTTTTTTTAGGTCATTCTGACCTATATTTCGACGATTTTTTTGAAAACTTTGATCCTTAATTTCACCAAGGGGAGATAATTTAGAAAATTTCCAAGGACATCATTGAAGTCGCATTGGCAAGATCTACTTACATTCTAAATTTCACGAAAATCGCACAACTATTAAAGAAGTTGTCAAATTTTTAATAACTTCCGGTTCGAAATGACAGCGACGAATTTTCGAAATGCCAAAATCCGAAATTGCAGATTTGAAGTAAATGTTTCAAGATACTCAAAGAAAAAAGAATTAGTAAAATAGGTCAAATAGACACAAAGTTACAGCATTGTAGGTCAAATGCATTCCTTCGTAAAATTCGGTGATTTCGGATTCGTAAAACGTTTTGAAAATATATTTAATCAACAGCCACCACCCATTTTTGGGGGGATAGGTAAAAGTTTCAGAACGATCCCATGGTTAGATTCTGAGAAATCCGATTTGTGGACAAAACACAAAAAAAAAATAACAATAATAATCTTAACAGAAACAATAAGCTTTCATATGTAATATGAAAGCTTAATTAAGGACACGGCTGACATTTTAACAATAAAGGATTATAATATATACATATCGATGGCATTAAGTATTGTTTAATGGTCGAGAGCGAGACATTAAGTAATATATTGTAACAACATGAGGGCCGTAGGCCCGAATGTTTTTACAATATATTACGCAATGTCGTAAGCTCGAGACCATTAAACATCTTAAAATACTGACACTCCGCACGAGCTTTTACGTCACACTAGTCCAATATCTCACTGGTATGAATAAAGTACTATTGGCAAGTTGCCCGTACGATTATTTGAAATAATGGTACGCCAACATCAAAGGGTGACGTCACATCTGTATTTTAAATAACGTTATTTCATACTTCGCTAGTTACTGAGACGCTGGATCGCTAGCCTGGGGGTAGCGGGTTGGTTTCCGGTGTTGGCCGAGAAAGTTCATCGGGATTTTTCGGAGTGGTTTCCCCTCGTAAGTGGTGAATGAAGGAGGGCCTGACAAGTAAAGCTGTTTGGCTGTTGGAATGGGACGAAAAACCGAGGTCCCGTGTACAGAATTCCCGTGGCCGTAATGCCACTGTCAGTTCTAAATTTCCCTCATAGCACACTTTATGGGGCATGCCAGTCTTCATTAACCCAGTTGGACGTTAAACCCCATTTCATTTCATTTCATTTCATTTCACCTTTTAATAGCACACATACGATTAATGTTTTGAGAGAACAGTAATTGTCCCGAAAATTTAGTTTGAAGCCCATTGTTACTATTAGAACTGTTAAAGGTGCATTATGTAAGATTTAGATAAAGAACTGACAATTCTCGCTCATATTCCTGAATCAATGGCTCGAGAAAACCCTCTCTGGCCATTGCTGGGTTGGCTTCTGAATCTTGAGCTTTTGAGGGAGTGTGTCTATTCTTCCCGTTCAATCAAATCTATCTAAAGTACAGCAACACGACAGCCCTTCGTTTAATCTGGGGTCTTGCCTAAAACTTTGGACAGTGATTTAAGATATTTAAAACGGTGAAACCATTGTTCGTCTCCAAACAGTATTGTTTACATTGAATTCGTTTTGATAGCCTCGTTTGTCACGCAATTAGTTTTTCTGCAGTATTCTGCTATGTACTGGTTAATTGGGCATACTAAAATCGTGAATCATGACGTAACGTTATGTAAACATATTTGGTCCAATTTGGAGCTCTGTTTAATGCTATTGTTACGCAGTTAGCTATTGGTTGTTAATCGGACTATTGACCAGTCATAATTTAGAACAGATATTTGCTTCCTTTACAGCATTGTTAAGTGGATTTAGGTCTAATCAAACGAAACACTGCGAGGAGTATGATTTTCGCTATATAAGTTTAAAAATGGATAATGAAAAAAGGAATATATATAAAATTTCTGAGCTAAATAATCAATATTGGAAGTTTTGCTAAAAATAGCGTAGTCTCGATTTTTATTACTACCATTGTTATGGTGATATTATCCATTGTTAAATTAAATTATTAACTGTCTACCAATTCATTAAAAACCAAGGCCATCCAATGTTCTTGGGAGTTGATTATGGGCTTGGCATGTGAATACATGTCTAATTAATGATTCATATAACATCTGAGGTCAATTGAAATACCTACAATAGACAGATTTAGCTCTTACATTCTCTTAAGTAGTATCTGATATATTCCAAATTATTTAAGTTTCTTTTAAAAATATTCTATGTATATAAATTGTTGCAGAAGAATGCCATAACCGGCACGGTTATTAATACTTTATCAAGAAGTGTTTGTTGTTAAAAAAATAAGTAATATATGTCTAGGAGTACCACCAGTGCAGGTAGGTATATTATTTCGACATCAATAGCAATAAGATATTTAACATAAAGCAGACTATATAGATACAGTCTGACACAATACCGTTTTATTGAGAAAGTTTGTGTAAATATTTGAAAATTGCCCCGTGTATATATAATGACATTCAATGGTCTATTTATAATCTATAATCTATACATTTGGTGGTCGCAATAACAGGTATCAATGAACTGTTTATATTAGTACAGAATATATATATATATATATCTTTAAACCCATTGATCGTCATTAATTTGTATTTTTCAATCACGTTCGTAATCCTCGCTAAAATGTGCACACATTTAATATCTTACATAATATTAAGAGAATAAAATTAAAATCTCAACGAAAGATAATCTACCAGTTTGGATTTAGTAAGATTAAATAGAGGTCCGTCATTTCATCACACATGAGTAAATACTGATCTGAATTGAACATGTTCGGACTGACATTCAACATTCACAATCGTATAGTCTGCAAGAAATAACGGACCTCTCAAATGACGATCAGCTACGTTAGAATAATTGCTATACGTTTATAAGTTAAAGCACAGACAAACAAAAGCGAATCTGCACTTTGTAAGGATGTTCTAAAAACTCCGTAAAATTAATCTGAAACATAGTTCTTATCATGAAGTTGTGCAAGTAGAATGTCTAAGAACATGGCCTGGGTCTCTTATCATTGAGACAAAACAAGATGGGTTTTCAACATTTGAGAACAACTAGATCATTGGCTAGATTATCCGGTATTTTACATCATCATGTACTCTTTAAGGGAGGTAACTAGCCCCAAAACAAAAATGACGACGCCCATGAAATTCATTTAAGAATTGCCATTTCAGAAAAATCTATTTGTTTTTATTGTGAAATTTCTCTGTTCTAGGATCATATCTATGGTTCTTATTAATACTAATTCATCGTCAGAATTCATATTTTGTTTTACAATAATGCATGAATATTATAGAGATAGCGTCTATAACTTAGTTGTAAGTTTTGGTTTAATATTTTGCTGAACATCTCTGCTTACTTGTTTGAGTCCAGTATCTGCTCCTTTGAACACAAGAAGACCAATGAAATGAAATTCAGGAACAAATAAGAAAACTTCTGGGCTTTCTCGCCCATCAATATTTCAATATTTAATAATTCTCTATTTGTAAGAACCCAAAAGTCAACATTCATATATGGTGTTGAGTAAGTACAAATAACACAGTGTCTAACTATATTCCTCCAAGGTGCCTAAACAAGACCGTTGGCAGGGAACGTAGAAAACCATTAATTATAAACCAAATCAACATAACTGCCAAATTTGGTTTGTATCTACCAAATGACACAGAAAACGTTTAAATTTATCTTGTCAAGGCACCCGTTATCCAACTTCTTCCGATGAACTATAGTTAAATAATAACTGACCAATCAATTACTAAGTTTGATTGAGATCCATAGAGCACTTTAGGTCAAATGTATGAAAATGTGTAAATTTGCCCTTTTTCAAGAGCCATGCACCTCATTTGAACTAATATGAATAATAATTAACATCATTGTTGCGATAATATTTACAGCTATATAAGTCTTTTATTCTATTTAATTAGGATAGGAAATCATCTGAACTAAATTACAACTAAATCTATGACCATTACATATGCCTGATATTTTTAACAACCATGTTCTGCATGTGATCAAACAAATCCAAATCCGCCCTTCTACACTATATATTACACTTTTGCTTTATTGTAAACCAAGGTTTACATATGCAGGATCTGGATTTAATGTTTGATATTGATTTGCTGCTTCATCTTGTTGAATTGAAACTTGTTGTAGAGTATCATAAGTAATATCATCAGATGTAGAGTTTTCTCCTCCTGTTGTTGATGTATTTATAGTAGACTGATTATTATATCTATAACCACGTGATTCACTGGTTTGTTTAGACGACTGATTTCTGAAAATCAAAATAAACCGATATCATCGATATTATCATCATTTATAATTAATTCACTAGATTGCCAACAGTATCTATGCCGTCCGTGTCATTGTCACAATGATATTTGTGTATAACTTTTTGTCTAGAAATGTGGACGGTACAAGGGTTAAGGCCCGGTCCCGCTGCACTTACGGATGCAAAGAGGATGTAAAACGGGGAAAAAACGTGTCCTCCGTTTGAAAACGCCATGCATCCGTTGTGTACTCATTGCATACGTGTTTCATACCCTCTATCCATCGAGCATCCGTTCACTTTGATTTCATCCGCGCAAAAAGTTATAACGGTTGAACTTTCTGCCGTGTACGATATAAATGCGCGACATATACGAGCTTTAAACGTTCCTATCCGTTATCATCCGTTAAGCGTCCACTGAATCCTGTCTGCATCCTCTGGGCCACTGGGACCGGGCCTTAATGCACTTACTTACACTGAGGTATTATTAAATCGAAACGTTAAAATATGTCTTACCTTCTGATTCAGACTTATATCAAAGTGTAAGATGAATACACATTTATATAATTTTATATCTTACCTTTTAACTATATAGCAATATACTGTAATACATATTACTAATGTAACAACTATACCAAATATAGCACCAATAACACCACCTACAACTGGACTAACTTCTTCATCAGCTGTATCTTTATCTTAAATTATAAAACCACAATACCTCCACATTAGTAGCTATATTTCCTATGAGCACTGACACCTCAAATAATGGGACTTTGTGTAGAAATAATTGTACTTGACTACTCATCCCTTTTTAAAGGGATGTCATAATACATCTGCTTACTTTAAAGAATAGTTTCAGGTACTAGACAAACTCGAATCAAGAGCCCCCAAGCTTTACATGTGTTTTAAACATACTGTAAAATGAAATGTAGAAGTGGATATTGTCTAAATCCCCGTCCCCTCCACCCCACCCCCACCCCACCCCCAGCCACTTTGACGTTTATGGAACTATATATTACGTTTACTTTCTAAATAGCCCAAATAGACATCTTGAAAACAGTATCGGTTGCACAATTATTTTTCGAATTAAACCCCGCGTATCTTGGTTATATTTATGAAAGAGTAAATACTAATTGGAGGTATACATATCTTACTTTTGGAGCAGTCCATTCCCATTTTACCCTCCACACAGCCACCGGAACAGTCTCCGTTTTCTTGATAACAGGAACCGTGTTTACAGTTCAAACTACACGTGTAATTACATGCTGTTCCATAATATTTTCCATATATACATTGAGAACAGTTGTTGTTATCATCTTGATTACAAATAGTACAGTTATCTTTACAATCTTTATCACAGGTATCTCCTCTGTACCCTTTAATACATAAACTACATTTACCATTAGTTCTATCACATCTACCATCACATGTTTTACTACAGTTCTTAGCACATCTATCACCATATCTTCCTACAATACATTCAGTACATCTACCTTTACTCCTACTACAGTTGCCATCACATGTTGTACTACAATTCCAATCACAGCCATCGCCATATCTTCCCACAATACATTCAGTACATCTACCATCTCTATTACATGTTTCTCGAGTCCCGTCTGTAATTGGTAGACATTCAGCACCACATGTAGAATTACAATATAGACCAACTGTAATAGGTTTACAGCCACCACATTTACCCTCGTCCCTGGTACAAGTTTCACTACAGTTAACAGGACATGGTTTATTACAATCATCACCAAATATTCCTGATATACATTCTATACATCTACCTGTTGATTTATTACATTCTTCAGTACAGTTACTAGAACATCTAGTTTTACAGTTAGTACCATGGTAACCTTGTATACAGCTAGAACATTGTCCTGTAGTCCTGTCACAGTTACCCATACAGTTAGTAACTATACATGTTGACTGACAGTTAGTACCATGTCTACCTTGTGTACACGAATCACATTTATTTCCAAAAAAGTTAGTTTTACACGTACAATGACCATTGTCTTTAATACAGATGTTGTTCTGACATCCACTACTACAGTAAAGACCACATCCCGTGCCATATCTACCTTGTGTACACGAATCACATTTATTTCCAAAAAAGTTAGTTTTACACGTACAATGACCATTGTCTTTAATACAGATGTTGTTCTGACATCCACTACTACAGTAAAGACCACAGTCCGTGTCATATCTGCCTTGTATACATGCATCGCATTTATTACCCAAAAAGTTAGTTTTACACGTACAATAACCATTGTCTCTAGTACAGATGTTGTCCTGACACCCACTACTACAGATATCTTGACAGTTGGTACCATATCTACCTTGTATACATGATTCGCATTTATTACCAGAAAATTCAGATTCACAGGTACAATATCCATTATCTTTATTGCAGATGTTGTTCTGACACCCACTACTACAGATATCTTGACAGTTGGTACCATATCTACCTTGTATACATGATTCGCATTTATTACCAGAAAAGTTAGTTTTACAAAAACAATAACCATTGTCTCTAGTACAGATGTTGTCCTGACACCCACTACTACAGATATCTTGACAGTTGGTACCATATCTACCTTGTATACATGATTCGCATTTATTACCAGAAAAGTTAGTTTTACACGTACAATAACCATCGTCTCTAGTACAGATGTTGTCCTGACACCCACTACTACAGATATCTTGACAGTTGGTACCATATCTACCTTGTATACATGATTCGCATTTATTACCAGAAAAGTTAGTTTTACACGTACAATAACCATTGTCTCTAGTACAGATGTTGTCCTGACACCCACTACTACAGATATCTTGACAGTTGGTACCATATCTACCTTGTATACATGATTCGCATTTATTACCAGAAAAGTTAGTTTTACACGTACAATAACCATTGTCTCTAGTACAGATGTTGTCCTGACACCCACTACTACAGATCTCTTGACAGTTGGTACCATATCTACCTTGTATACATAAATCGCATATGTTACCAGAAAATTCAGATTCACAGGTACAATATCCATTATCTTTATTGCAGATGTTGTTCTGACACCCACTACTACAGATATCTTGACAGTTGGTACCATATCTACCTTGTATACATGATTCGCATTTATTACCAGAAAAGTTAGTTTTACACGTACAATAACCATTGTATCTAGTACAGATGTTGTTCTGACACCCACTACTACAGATATCTTGACAGTTGGTACCATATCTACCTTGTATACATAAATCGCATTTATTACCAGAAAAGTTAGTTTTACACGTACAATAACCATTGTCTCTAGTACAGATGTTGTCCTGACACCCACTACTACAGATCTCTTGACAGTTGGTACCATATCTACCTTGTATACATAAATCGCATATGTTACCAGAAAATTCAGATTCACAGGTACAATATCCATTATCTTTATTGCAGATGTTGTTCTGACACCCACTACTACAGATATCTTGACAGTTGGTACCATATCTACCTTGTATACATGATTCGCATTTATTACCAGAAAAGTTAGTTTTACACGTACAATAACCATTGTATCTAGTACAGATGTTGTTCTGACACCCACTACTACAGATATCTTGACAGTTGGTACCATATCTACCTTGTATACATGATTCGCATTTATTACCAGAAAAGTTAGTTTTACACGTACAATAACCATTGTCTCTAGTACAGATGTTGTCCTGACACCCACTACTACAGATCTCTTGACAGTTGGTACCATATCTACCTTGTATACATAAATCGCATATGTTACCAGAAAATTCAGATTCACAGGTACAATATCCATTATCTTTATTGCAGATGTTGTTCTGACACCCACTACTACAGATATCTTGACAGTTGGTACCATATCTACCTTGTATACATGATTCGCATTTATTACCAGAAAAGTTAGTTTTACACGTACAATAACCATTGTATCTAGTACAGATGTTGTCCTGACACCCACTACTACAGATCTCTTGACAGTTGGTACCATATCTACCTTGTATACATAAATCGCATATGTTACCAGAAAATTCAGATTCACAGGTACAATATCCATTATCTTTATTGCAGATGTTGTTCTGACACCCACTACTACAGATATCTTGACAGTTGGTACCATATCTACCTTGTATACATGATTCGCATTTATTACCAGAAAAGTTAGTTTTACACGTACAATAACCATTGTATCTAGTACAGATGTTGTTCTGACACCCACTACTACAGTTAAGACCACATCCCGAGCCATATCTACCTTGTATACATGCATCGCATTTATTACCAGCAAAGTAAGTTTTACACGTACAATGACCATTGTTGTTAGTACAGATGTTATTCTGACATCCACTACTACAGTCAAGATCACAGTTGGCACCATATCTACCACCAATACAATCATTACAAACACCTGTTTTACTACAACCACCAGAACACTGTTGACTACATGATTTATCACATTTATCTCCATACCATCCTACTTTACAACCATTATTACAAAAACCATCCCCCTGTCCACATCCTCCATTGCTACAGTTATTAGAACATTGTTGTTGACATGAGTTACCCCAATAACCATCAATACATCCACCATTACAAATACCAGATGTTGAATTACATAATCTTTCTTTACAGTTGACGTCACACTGATTCTTACAGTCTACACCATAATACTGGTCTGGACAAACACCTGAAACATAACATAAATTCATCTCTGTTTAGATACATGTATATAGAAATTGATACAGACTGCACCATAATATTATTTTTTCTGAGAATACTCAAATAAATGATAATAAAGGTAACGTGCTTACATCGTATTAGTTAGGGTAAGCAGAGATAAGCAATAAGATTGGTTGATGCTTTGGGACACGATAGCTTTAGTTCTAATTAAGCGAGAGTGAGGACACTTGGTGTATAGTTTTATTACATCAATACCTTGACTAAGTTCCATAATAATCATTTCCGATTTTGATTAGTCAGTGTAGTGGCTTCTAGTATGTTAATTGGACAATGGGGTCACGTGAGAGTATTTGGTTGCCTAACGGTAAATGTCATTGGCTTATCTTGTTATTACGTGACAAAACACAGCTGTTTATTTAGATCAGTTGATTGACAGGTGTCAGAGTTATTGTTTAGTATAACTAGCATAACTTCTAATCTAAACGGGATTTTCATATCAACTTACTATTATTACCAATTGGAAACAAAATTAAAGATCTCAACTGAAATTGAAGGATATTTTCCTATTTCCGCGAAATTCAAGGATATTCAAGACCTTGAAAATGAAATTTTAAATTTAAGGATATTCAAGGATTTTCAAGGACCGCGGGAACCCTGTCATTACTAAAGTCGATACGATAAAAAACATAATCTCGATCATCCATTTCATGTTTAAATCATAAATGAAAGTTGAGCAGCAAATGCGATCCTAATCCAGTAAATATCACAGGCTAGCGTTGATATCGAGAGTTGATTATGGTCTGGATAGGTTAATTAATGTCTAATTAATAATTTAGATAACATTTCAGGTCTAAAGAAAGACCTGCAATAGGCAGATTTATCTCTTGCATAATGTATGTTTAAAGGACAAATATGCATGAGTCTTAATGGGGCGTTCCTAAATATGCATATATCCAAATCTTGAGCCGAATAGTAGTATCGTGTATTCGTATAAGTAACTATTGAACTAATTTAAAACACGTTCCATATACGACAAGGCAAGACTTAAGTTATGAATATTAGATTAAAACATACCTTCTATCTGAATCACTTGAAATATTAAAATAAAAACACCTAGACTACACCATGACGCCATTTTACCAGCTAGTTGTACGTCTATAGCCTTTACATTGCAACCAGGAAGAAAAAGTAATCATTATCTAAAAAAAGGTCGTGTCAAGGCTGAATGACTGACGTACAACAAAAAGGTGTTACCTAGGTGTATATTATGAGAACAAGGAAGGTATACATTCGTATAAAGGGAACATAACAATTAAGTAAGGTACATGTATATCAGTAAGTATATACTGTTTCTTAGCTGTTTAAATATAGTGACGGGTATACCACTTAAAGCATAATTTCTTTCTTGAACATCTGATACCACTTTGCATTTGACAAATTTATACAGCTAACAAACTGTGTACTTTTGTATTTAAACTATTGTCGTTAGACTGATCATCGAATTATCCACCGTTTGCCCTGAAGAGTTACCGTACTTGTAGTCGCGTGTCACTTGGTGCGAAGACACCGACTCGTCAAGACACAGCCCGCCAGTGCACTGCCATTGAAACGAGCGATGTCAACAACACGGGGGCTAAGTGAGAGGGACACAGTTACGAGCTTTGGGTGATGGTTTTGAGTTTCTGCGCCCCCTCTCAAATGACAAAAAATCACGCGGTTTCAATGCGGTTTTCAACATTATAACCATAATCATAATGCTCAGGGGGATCACGTGGCTAAGTGGGTAAGACGCTGGCTCGCTAGCCTGGAGGTCGGGTCTTCGATCCCGACATTGGCCGAGAAAGTTCATCCAGATTTTCCAGCGTGGTTTCCCCGTGTCAGTGATGCAGGACGGAGGGCCTGACAAGGACAGCTGTCTAGTCGTTCGGATGGGACGAAAAACCGAGGTCCCGTGTACGCATTGGCGTGCACGTAAAAGATCCCTTGGCAATTGGAATTCGATATAAGAGTAGGCAGTAGTGCCGCTGCCCGGGCAGAATTTCCCTCATAGCACACTGTATGGCGTCTGCCCGTCTTCATTAGCCCAGTTTAGGAGCAGAACAGTAGGACGTTAAACCCCATTTCATTTCATTTCATAATGCTCAAACCGTGTGAAAGATATATCGTGGGTCAGATATGCTATAATTCGACTCTAGTATGTTCCACATAGCCCAATATTACCTGGTGGCACCGGTAGGGACTACCACCCCACCCCACCCCTCCCTCGCATACACATATAAATATTGTTTTGGGGGGCCTGGACGGGATCTTGTTCCTCATGCAAAATCATGGGTCACCACGCCCCAAAATCAATAGGGATGTGGGAGCGGCCGTGTTAATTGATGTAATAAAGAAGAACGGTGAAAACGGTACGCCCGCGAAGGAAATAAAGAAGGGGTAGAACATAGAACCTTTGTCACTGAGGAGTTTAAGGTATATCTTGTTTGGGGTAATACTAGTGAATGGTTGGTATTATTTCAGGATGTTTGGCACAGTAGGTACTATGTTCCCTGGGTTGTGGCAAGCAATAAAATAAGGGTGGATGGCGGGTCAGTCGGATGTACAGCTGTGAGTTAAGTAGGTGAAGTGGATATAAGTTTCGAGGCAATACTAGATATAAATAATTTTAAATCAACAGGCGTACGGGGGGGGGGGGGGATTTCATTTTTTTAGGCATTTGATAGAGGGGCTTTCTTTTATAAAAGGACAAACTTACGGACCAATCGCCTTAGTGGTTTTTAAATGGTAAAGTTGTGGCTAGATTAAGGTGTCTTTTCTATTACTTTACTTCAGAAAGTTGAATGTAAATTCAAAAGCCTTGCATTTCCTATTTTTTTTAAAAAAAAAGCCGTGTTTAAGGGAACAGGGTTTGTTCAATGATGTGTTCTCTGCTCAAGGGAAGCTATCCTAAAGACCATTTGTCCCGCGACGGTCGCAGGGTTTGATTGTGAGAGCATTTTATATGTCCCTACTTATGTAGTCTTGAGTATTGTAATCAAGTCTCTTTTAGGTTTTCTTAAATCGAGTCCAAGTAACTTCTATACAATTTATTAAGCCTCGATTAATGAATTACTTTACAATAGTTGGGGTCTAGAACAATGGTTGGGTTGTAAAGAATTTCACCAATGACCAGTAGGGGACCCCTCTATTGTTAAGATTTCAGTATCTGTTTAATTCAACAAGGAATATATAGAAAACATATGGAGTAAACCGCTTTGTTAATCAAATGATAATCCGCCCCATTGCATTGACATCTAAGAAGACCAAAAAAAAAATACATTGTTTCACATGCTGGAGATATCGGGTACTCGCTTCTACAACAATTGTGACCGGTTTGTACCTTCAAATATTACAAGAGTCTGCTGGAATGGTTCTTCAATCTTTAATACTGCATACAATTACGGGACCGCGGATAACCGACTAGAACCTAATATGTCGGGTGGATATAAAAGACTCATCTAATCAATAGGTTGGACATAAACAATCATTGATGTAATAGTTTACAATATCAGAAATACAAAAAAAATGGCAAAAAAAACACGGCTGACATTTTCACAATAAAGGATTATAATATATACATATCGATGGCATTAAATAACGTTATTTCATACTTCGCTAGTTACTGAGAGGCTGGATCGCTAGCCTGGGGGTAGCGGGTTGGTTTCCGGTGTTGGCCGAGAAAGTTCATCGGGATTTTTCGGCGTGGTTTCCCCTCGTAAGTGGTGAATGAAGGAGGGCCTGACAAGTAAAGCTGTTTGGCTGTTGGAATGGGACGAAAAACCGAGGTCCCGTGTACAGAATTCCCGTGGCCGTAATGCCACTGTCAGTTCTAAATTTCCCTCATAGCACACTTTATGGGGCATGCCAGTCTTCATTAACCCAGTTGGACGTTAAACCCCATTTCATTTCATTTCATTTCATTTCACCTTTTAATAGCACACATACGATTAATGTTTTGAGAGAACAGTAATTGTCCCGAAAATTTAGTTTGAAGCCCATTGTTACTATTAGAACTGTTAAAGGTGCATTATGTAAGATTTAGATAAAGAACTGACAATTCTCGCTCATATTCCTGAATCAATGGCTCGAGAAAACCCTCTCTGGCCATTGCTGGGTTGGCTTCTGAATCTTGAGCTTTTGAGGGAGTGTGTCTATTCTTCCCGTTCAATCAAATATATCTAAAGTACAGCAACACGACAGCCCTTCGTTTAATCTGGGGTCTTGCCTAAAACTTTGGACAGTGATTTAAGATATTTAAAACGGTGAAACCATTGTTCGTCTCCAAACAGTATTGTTTACATTGAATTCGTTTTGATAGCCTCGTTTGTCACGCAATTAGTTTTTCTGCAGTATTCTGCTATGTACTGGTTAATTGGGCATACTAAAATCGTGAGTCATGACGTAACGTTATGTAAACATATTTGGTCCAATTTGGAGCTCTGTTTAAAGCATAATGCTATTGTTACGCAGTTAGCTATTGGTTGTTAATCGGACTATTGACCAGTCATAATTTAGAACAGATATTTGCTTCCTTTACAGCATTGTTAAGTGGATTTAGGTCTAATCAAACGAAACACTGCGAGGAGTATGATTTTCGCTATATAAGTTTAAAAATGGATAATGAAAAAAGGAATATATAGAAAATTTCTGAGCTAAATAATCAATATTGGAAGTTTTGATAAAAATAGCGTAGTCTCGATTTTCATTACTACCATTGTTATGATGATATTATCCATTGTTAAATTAAATTATTAAATGTCTACCAATTCG